AGTGAATGTATTAGAAGATGTAATGTTTTGTAACTACATAACTCACAGACATAACCAAGAACTTCCAACAGGCTGCTTTCTGCAGTACCTACGACCTCCAGCATGAACTGTGGTGGTTTACTGCAATTCAACTACCCACTCTAAAATGGGGAATCTGTAATTATATAGAAAGACATTGCATAATGCAAATTGGGACATCTAACAATGATAAATAATCATTACAATTGATTAGACATAGTACATAGAAAAAGAGTTTTGAATAGTTCATAAATTTTTATTACATGTTACCTATAATAAATACAGTAAAAAAAAAAACCCTAACGTGTCAAGGTCATTCTGAAGTCATTCTACAGTTGATTCAATACTGACATATTACAAATGGTAACTTAATTTGTAAGTTGGTAGAAAGCTACCATAAGTAACTGTATACATTTGTGTCACACATAAACCAATAACTCCAAAGAAAGAAGAAATCTACAATGACAAATGCAGCAAGGAGGTCACAAGCTTTTAAATACAGCAGCATCTGTCTTTCAGTCTATATAAAACTGACTTTGTTGAAAATGTTGTTAATCATTCCTGAGGCAATTTACCTCTCTTACCCACTTGATGGCCATCTGTTATTCCAGTTTATAAATTGAATCATTGTGTCATCATATTAGTTATGTTTTAAACTTTCAGCCTGCGTTTGGATCTTGATCAGCTACACCGGAGCTATTAAGTATTTCTGAAATCATTCAAAAAACTTCACTCACAAAACTCTCTAAGCACTAAAAATAGATCAAAAAATACTGCCAAAGCATGTCAATAAAACAGTCAATGAGTGCACTTCAGCCTAGAAATAACGGATATGCTACAGCAACACTGAATTAATATAGAAAATCAATATGACCTCGGACAACAAGCAGCACTGAAGAAATGAGTAAGACAGCATGTCTTATAGAGTCTCCTGTTCATCCAAAGACTGATAAAACAGACACACCTTTCTCCATAGCTCTGGCAGAAGTTGAAGATACAAGACTAAAAAACCATGCAATCATTAGATCCAATTTGTGAAGTAATAGAGAATAAATACGATAGACCTTTCCCAAGCTAAATACTTCTTCAAACACTGGTCTACTATAAACCTTGTTTTTCTTATAACTGCATATATAAAATGGAGTCATCAGATGTTTGGTTAATAGCAGAATTAACTGATTACATGCTTTGCAACTCTGATAAAATATTCTGGCAGAGTAACAACCACCACCCATATTTTGAACTGGTCTCCCAAAAGCAAGTTATCAGAAACGCTTACTCTTAAAGATCCTATGTACTTGCATATGGCACAGTACATAGCTCAATGAAGTTAACCAAAAAATTCCAACTAATACTACCGGATGCTGTGTCAGGTCCGTAGAAGCTCGATATTTTTGTTTGACCAAAGAGATTTGTTTTTAAAATATCCCTTAAAGTTCTGAGTGGGCAGTTATTATTTGTCAACACTTAAAAAAAATCCAGTAAAAGTATTAAAATTATAAACAAATATCTTTATAAATAGAACTTTACTGATTAACTGTTGCAGTTATTTTAGCCTGTGAATGGATACCTTAGTGTGTATCTACATTTGGGAATTTTCCAGTGACACAGCTGTTGCCATTCATTGGAAACACAAATGCGTATTTACTCTGAATGCACAGAGCCATTTTAAATAAAATAAATCTATAGAAGGTAAATTGCCCTGCAGATCAATTTTGGCACAGAGTGTGTAAAGACCTGAATCACAGGTGTTACGGAAATACTGGTTACATAGTTTAAAATGGAGAATTTTAAAAATGTATTTTAAGAGCTGTTTTCTCTCCCTCTTCCTATGTCCCCATCAGCAAAAGCATGCTAAAGTATTTTGCAGGACTGGTTTTGAAAGTACAATATGGGGATGTTCAAATTTTAGCAGAAAAATTTAAATCCTAACTTTTGAGAACATCACCTTTTGCGTGACAAACAGTTCATTTAGCATTTTCTTTTCAGTATGTGGGCCAGACAGTTCCTACTACAGAATTTACAAAAGATTGCTAAAATAAATAGTTATTCACCCTCCCTCTCAGTGCAGCACAAACATTCAGAAGCTATAAGCAGGCTCCAAAACAGGATTAGTGTAAAAAAGGTGATGATAAAAATGTTCCTGTTGGGTTTGTTGTTGTAAGGGCTTTTTATGCAGTTTGTTTTTGCACTTCTCAGACTTTAGCATACATGTTTTCCAACCTTTTTCTGCTTCCAAGACTAGAATCGAATGGGAGCAAGTTCTAGAAAATGATGTTTTCAGAACAAATCCAAATACCTTGAGATTTGAACAATCCGCTGTGAGAGTTGGCAGTGCCACAAGATATCCAGTGGAAAGCAGTTTAAAGTCCTGGGCTTTCCGGGCTGCCCTCTCACAAGTGCACTGTTGCTGCTGGAGAAGTAGAGTTTCTCCTTCAGGTGGCTTCTGAAGGAAATTTCACAGTATAGGAAATGGCAGAGAAGCTGGCACAGCTCTACAACCTCCCATGGATTTGTAGCTTGTCTTTAGAATGAGAGAAAAATTGCAAGTAGCGAAGCCAGCAACTCAACCCTTCTTTCTACAGTTCCACATAAAAATACCTGCCAGATGCTGATACTGGTATCTAAGTCTGTCTCAAAGTGACAAGGAGAGGCAGAAGTACTCTTTACCTCCCCTTGTAATCTGCCATATTTCCATCTGTTCTGTACAGCTAAACCACACAAGTGATGAAAGTCCATGAATGACAGTTGGGGGCGGGGGGGGAGGAAAAGAAATGGTGTACTTTTGTTGAGGAAGTCAGCTTATAACAATGAACTGTTTTCATTGTTTTGCCATGCAAGTGCAAATAGTGCAGAGGGATAAGTGATCTGGCAGCTGGGACTAAGGGACAATTGAATTTTAAGAGGTATATGGTAACAACATCTTATGTCAATATTATGTAAAAGCTTACTAAAACTATTGAGAATACACTACCAATGAGAATGGTTCTTCTTTATCCACCATGTAGGATTTTATATGTAAACTTTCAATTTATATAGCAAAAGTTACTTTCCATGTGGGTTAAGTGTTTCTGTTCACTACAGAAGGATGCATGCAGTTGTTACGTTAAACTAGGTACTTCACTAAGACAGCTGAAGCGAGAGGAGACTCATCCTAGGCCTCAGCCCTAATAAAGCAGTCTAAAAATAAGTTTTCATAACATCGCTAACAAAACACCATAACAACGGTTTATGAACTGTTGTACAAACCTGGTCCAATTTCCCTTGTGAGGAAAACCGTAACCGTCCTAGAGAATTTTGCAACACTTCTACACAACACTTTTCCATGGTTATTTAATTGGATGGGAAAGCTCTAAAACTATACAAGTTCTATTGCATTTTGTAAGCACACCAACTTCTCCAGGGTTCTACCAAATTCACCCTAACTAAGCCTCTTGGTCTTCCCAAAGACTTCCCGTAAGACAGCGTTTCATAAGCTGTTTTCCCTCAGTGGCCTGTTTCCATTCGAGTGCTCCCCTTCAACACTAACATAGCAGCACAAATTCTAGTTCTGCAGATTTCTTTCCAAGCACCTTTCAAGTCACAGGGTAATGCACCACACAGGAAACACTACCATGGCCATTTTTTCTTTTCCTGTATAAAAGGTTATAGAATTTTAAAGAACTTTTGAAGAATAACATAACAGCACTCTTCCTGCCCTTTGACAGTCTGACACACCTGAATGCATCTTGTGATGGAATAGTAACACTATGCTCGTCTGGGTATCAATTAACTATCAATGGAAGGTTGGAAGAACATCTACCTGCCCTATGACAGAACCACACCAATGCCTTTAACCACATTTTAGTTCCATCACTGGCATACCGATTAGCAAGATACGTGGAATCTACTATTAAATTGATATTTTCTTCAATATGCAGGAAGAAAAAAAAAAGCAGAAAAAAAGGCAGAGCATATCTTATGTGGGTACAAAATGTGGCTGTAAGATGAAGCTTAAATAATAGTTTGCTTTATTTTTAAAATTCAGGATTTAGAGCAATATGTGTTTTTGCAAACTACTGTTAGTAATTGGTCAGAGCACAGCAATTCATTACAAAGAACAGAAATATAAACGTATTCTTCTGCTGTTTCTCAACTGTGCCAGGCAAAATAATTTCATTTTGTTTCATAGCATTTTCTGTTTCGGCTCCTGTCAGGGTTTATGTGAATCTTCTTTATGTACTGTGAACCAACGATAACTTTGTTTAGCTGAGCTCTATGAGCTACTGGGGAAAGCTGATCAGCAGACATAATTTAAAATAATCAAACCCAAACCAGCCATCTAGGCCATTTCAGCAGGTCAGGCTGTCATCGAGAGCATGACTAAGATACACAGATGTGCTTCTTCATAAGTTTTATTCCCACCATATACCACCTGACCTGTTCCCACTTAACAGCAGAAAAATATCTTAAGAACTGAATAAATATTCCTCTTCCATCCTTTTGGGGTTTTTTTTCCAACGTGTAACTGCTGTGTCATAAAAATGACAACACCTCTTACCGTCACAATGTTTTGGTCATTACTTTACTTGAAAAAGAACACATTTAGTGGAAAAATATCCAATATTAGAATAATTTAAAAAGCAAATAAATTCTTCCCACACACACCTTTGAGATCTTATCATTTCTAGCTACATAATGGTTAGCATTCTTCCAAAAATAAGAATTTGGAAGTTTCTTCTAGAAATTAATACTACTAAACTATTCTCATTTCATTACTGTCCTTTTAGCTGGTATTGTTACCATTGGTGATTAACAGGGTAAGACAAACCATAACTGCTCATTGACTCACAGACAGATACGTTAAAATGTGTTCACTTTAACTTGAGCTCATACAGATTTAAGAGGATATTGGCACAGCACCTCCTCTAATGCTTCCTTTGCAAAGGCCCTTGGAAGATTCCGTTCATGAAAGAGTAAGATAAAATATTGGAAGTCCCTACCTTCACCTGATGATCCTGAAAGGTCTATGATGACATACACTCTCCCTTCTGGCTCCAAGTCAATCTGCAATCAAGAAGAGAATTAGAAGAAAACTTAGAATGGCTCCCAAAGCAAGTGACTGCACATGCAGGAAACAAAAAGTTTCCAAAACTTATGAAGCCAAGATGTAGGCAGGACACATAGGCAGGTCTACAGTTCACTAGCAACAGAGCTTCCTTTTGCAACAAGGTATTGAGGACCCTGCACCTTCACTGAAGTAAAAAAGAAGTGTGTGCCCTTAGCACTTGGAAAGCTTGAACCCAGTGAATTTTACAAATCAAATATTTAAAGCACTGCTCTCCCATACATTTGCACCACTATTTCCAAGTAGTGGAACAAGGAGGAAAGTTAGAAGGTGGTAGCATCAAATAACTTTTTTACTGTAATTTATGCTGAGCCCAGCTATGCAAATGTGAAAAACAACACTGTGACCTATTCAGATCCCAGCGAGACAGATCAGCTCTGGTCACAGAACGGGGGAAATGAACACACACAGCTCGTATGGCCAGTTAACACGTGTTTATAATACTCCCTTTGTATCCTCACTGGGAGAAAGAAATACACACTTTATCCTCTTTTTCTGAAACACAAAATTTGTTTATTCCTGCACCATTCTGGTAGATTTTAAGGAGTCTCTGCTCTTGTGGAGATCGCTTTCACTCAGCATGAAATACAGGTGCCCAGTATCAAGCTGCTGTACTTCAAGATTTCACGGGCTGTGGGAATAAGCTCCTGTATGTTTAGGCACCGCAATGAAGAGCTCATTACAAATCCTCCTGTATTTTACCACACATTTCATCAGCAACTCTCAATACTGCTGGATTTGAGTATCTTAATGGTGCCCCACACGTTACAGACAATTTTTGCAGCCACCCATCTCTCAAAAATTAAACTGTAACTAAAACACAATGTAATCGATAGCTCTTACTGTCACATAGCAGTTGTCACACGATTTCAGAGACTGAGTGAAGTGACGTGGTGTACATTAATATTGCATCTTCATTCTATTTTACTGAGTAAAGCACACAGATAAAATTGCATGCCCACTGCCAGGGTGCCTCAAAGGGCCATGTCTGCCAGGGCCCGTCCTGTGTCCCACCGCTCCAGCCTGGAGCAGGCAGTCGGGGAGGCACCAGGGCAGCCCCAGCCCTGGGCATTAGGCACCTCCCTGAGGATGGGGGCGGGCCAGGCCCAGGCCCAGGCTGGGATGTGGGCCCACGGGTAGGCCCAGCTCGGCAGGGCCCAGGGCTGGGCAGGGCAGGGCTCTGGGGAGCCGGAGACCGGCCGGGGTCCTGGGCTCTGGGCAGGGTGGGGGAGCCCCGGGGGCTGGGCAGGGACATTGCAGCCTGTTGGTGACCCCTGGGCCCTGACACACACTCAGGACTTGATGAGATCAGGCCTGCCATGTAGCAAACCGGGGTACACAGGGCAGGTGAGAAAAGGGGGAAAAGAGATGAGCCCCAAAAAGCCCCTTCTTCCCCCAAATGAAAAAGCGGCAGGACTATGGGTCCTTTGTCAGCGCCAGACCAAACGGATGCAGGGTGGGAAGAAGGGAGTGTGCCTCATCGCCGGAGTCCAGCCAAGCCCTGCTCTCCACAGGCAGAGATCCCAGAACTTTCCTGACGCCTCTGCTACACTGAGGCAACTGCACGCGGGGCTTGTGGCTGGGATCAGGCTACCTCCCCCCACCCCACCACGGCCCTCCTCCTCCCATGCCAGGTGCCCTGCCACAAGAGGGGAAGGTGGGCCTTGCTTTGCCCATGTCAGCTCTCTGGGCTAACAAACGATGCTGAGCTGCCTCCTAAGTCACAAGCGACATCAGGGTATGGCACTAGGACAGAGTAAGATGATAAATCAGATCACCAATTCACACTAATAACTTGGGAGACCAATCTGTAAAGTAGCAAGTAAATGAGAAAAGGAAGGAAATGCCAAAACGTTGGGGCTATGCCAGGCTTTGCCTCTCTGCATTCAGCGGGCAGCTCCATGGGGCCACTTTTTTTGCCTCCAGGTTTCTCTCATCACCTGAGAGGACCTTTACAAGAGGGGCACCTCTGCTGTTTCCCTCTTTTGGGCCACAGCTGCTGAATGCATCAGGGTAACACAGGCTCCTCCCTCCATGAAACAGCTTCTCACAAAAATGCTTCTGTGCTGTTCAAGAGCGAGCCGGCAGAGGAGTTCACAGGTCCAGCTGATGTCATTGGACCAACAGATCAAGAAAATGATCTCAGCAGCTGTATTGTAAATAGACGAGGCAGGAAATAGGTGTTAGCAAGGCCAGGGGTTACTCAGAGGAGAGGAAAATGAAAGCGTGGTTGAGTGTTTTTCCATAAATAAAGTTGAGTATTAAGTAATTTTTAACAATTTCTGAACTGGCAGCATGAGTTTTGTGGGAGAGGTTTTTTTTTTTTGGGGGGGGGGTGTTTTTTAAATAAAGCTACTGATCTTGAAATATTGCTCCTCTCCCTTTGCAGTTTTTAAATTAAAAAAAAAAATTAGAAGATCAGAGGCACAGGTGCATGAATAGACTTTGATGTCTATGCTGAGGGAGGCTTTTGAAAAACTGCTATAGCACTCAACAGGTGGCCGTATTAAAAAAGACAGGCATGTCTAATACTCTGTTTGTATCAGCACTACATACAGTTTGGTTAAGCTTTCAGTAAAATACTTTATGCAGCTCAAATCCCAGTGTGCACACACACATACAAAACCCCAACACCATCCCTGCAGAAGAATCATGCATCTGGAAGAGCTGGTGACCACCATCACAAAATCTCTGTTCTGCCCATTTAAGTACAAACAGCATTGGAAGCAACTCAGGAAAAAGACTGGAGCACCAAACCCAAGTTTCCATTACCCACCAAGTGGACTGTTTTCATATATGATTTATTAGAAATGCTGCTTACTGATTTTGATTCAGAATTTTTGCTGATGCTCTAAGCAGAATGAAGTATTTACAAAAGGGAGTCTCTTTTACAAAGAAAGTATGTTTCAGTCTTAAAATGTTCTAATACCAATGAGAATGAAATGGACATATTCTTATTTTTAGATTTATAAAATACCCACATTTCATTTCAGCAAGTACCTATGCTGATAGTCTCATCAGTCACATGAATTAGTACTTTGTCAGAAGCCCGCAGCTCAGCTGCCTCAGCTGACCTTACATATAAAAAGAACACCCCCACAAAAGCGGAATCCCCTAAACTGATAGGAATCCTTCTTTTGATCTCAGGTCTTTCATGTATCAAAGCAAGTACGGAATGAAAAGGACTGATTCTAATTTTGCATAAAACATTTCTAATTTAATGCCTGGAAACATAATGGTATAAATACCGCCAAAACAGTCAGATTACTAAAATATAAACTGCATGCCTTTTCTTTCAGTCTACACATTAAACTACACTTAAAAGAAGGTGGAGACTATGTAATGTCATTTTATAAATAAGTAACAAAAGATGCATACAGCACAATCTAAAGTTTCCATGAATTTTTCACAAAATGCCCTGAAAGTTATCACATGTGAAATGCCCTTAGACATATGTAACCAGAAACAGAGTGACTGGCCACATTCAGCTGAATATAACAGACATCCTTGAATGCAACAGAAATAGTCTGATCACGGCAGTTCTGATTCTGACCCTTCTCATTGACTAAAAATACTTCTCTCTGAATGCAGCCAAGCATTTATACATGCAGAGAGACACTATGAGAAGATATCTAAAAAGACATGACTGTTCAAAAGGACAACAGGGAACAAGGCAAGATGCAAACTAGGGATGGGACAGAGGAGTTAATACAAAAGCAGCTTTGCTGTAAGCAAGGCACATGGCAAAATATATGCCTTGCACATACATACCACATTCTCTGCATGCAACAAAAGATGTAACAACTATCATTGAGCAAAATGTTTGATCACCAAAGTGTTTTATCATGTTACTTGCCCATGCTATTGCTGTGACTTCTGTTAAAATACAGAGTTTTAGTAGGTGCAAGTAAGATTAATTGTAAAGGTACTTTAAACAACTTCTATATTGCTAAAATAATCTTTATGTGGCAATGTATTGAGATTAGTACAATGATTGCTGGAAAGCAGCACAGGTCTTGAAAAACTCCAGGCATGAATAAAGCATATTAGTAGCCTGTTTCAGGGAACAAAAGGCAACCATCCATAAAACCAGACATACTTTCAGAGGAAAAAACCCATGTTGAAACCATGGCCAAGTTTCAGCATATTGAAGGCATTTATATAGTTTCACAGTCATTAATGGATTTTATTTTCAACACCCTTCTGAGACAGTTCCCCATCTGTAAAATGAGATGCTCCCAAAGGCACAAGCTAGACTAAATGACTTGCCAGAACGTCATACAAGAAGTCTACGGTTAAACAAGAACTGAACTCTGGTCTCTGGAGGCCCAGGCTGCCCACAGGACCATTTCTCCTACTCCTCAGTTGAGCTTCACTTTGTCAGGCTATACACATCCTGTCTTCCTGCAATATCAGAGACATCCAAGCACTTTTTTTTTTTTTTAAAACAACTTTAATGGGTACATATCTAGGAGGCAATTTCCTTTCTTTTCCACTCAGTTAATACTCATCAGTAAAAACTATATCAAACAAAAAATTGCTTAAATATTTCTTTGCAGCATTTCCAAAGCATCACAATTCTTGGGCAACTCTGGAGTAATGCAAAATTTAATAAAACTATGCAGAAGATTGTAAAAATAGTTCAGCTTTTCCTCAAGGTTTGCTTTTTTCAAGCTTTTAACTCCGAAGTGTTCTTCTGAAAAACTGAGTCCTAAGCTCATCTAGAAGCTCACCATTTTCCTCCTCTCAGGTGCAAGATGTAATTCCCAACCTCAAAAATATGAAACTCGGACAGAATTCTCTTAGACTAAGATTTTGCTAAGGAAACCACACACTCTCTAATCTTATAGGGATGAGGCAGATTAGAATATCCTATGCAATTATTTGGGTTGCACCAATGCTTCATATTTGAATATGAAGAAGATTTTACGTTCTTGAC